GCTCGCACCCTTGCTGGCAAGGCGGCCATCTTGCACTCCATATGTCTGCCAGTCATGTGGTATCAGTTCCGAGTAGTAATCCACCAGTGTGTTGGAGACACCAGTTTGGTCGGATACCAGGTTTCCGTTGGCGGCTTCCAGTTCTTGAAGACCGTCTTTCGCAATGGAGTTGGAATTGGTGACTATTTCTGCTCGAATCCAAGTCGGAAACTCTGGCGAACTTCAAGAAATTCCATGTGCACTCGGAGCGTTCGTGTTCTCAAAAACGCAAGGCAATCATGACAGACAACGCCAAAGAGTACCTAGACAAGGATCGTAGGACGTACTTCAATAGCCTCGGCATCGAGCAACTTTTCACCAACGTTTACTCGCCCGAAGAAAATTGCATCGCCGAGAAGCCCAAATACACCATCATGAACAAAGTCCGGTGCATCCTGCAAGCCTCCGGCATGGCCAACGAATACTGGGGTGAAGCACTTAACTACGTAGTGTACACCGAAAACCGAAGTCCCACCAAGGCACTCGGCGGCAAGACTCCGTGTGAAGCTCTTCATGGCCGGAAACCAAACATCGAGCACCTTCGGTCGTTTGGATGCACTGCTTTTGCGTTTATCGACAAGGCCAAGCGCAGCAAGCTGGACCCTGGAGCGACCAAGTGCGTGTTTGTGGGATACTCAAGTCAACGCAAGAGCTATCGACTCATCGACCTGGACTCCGGCGGTCGGTTTGAATGCCGTTCAGTCAAGTTCTTTGAAGATGCATCGCCGAATCCTACGCAGCAAGTGTGCGATTTGACTCTGAAGACGTTCGGATTGACGACGACTTGCATGCTGCACATGACAACGACGACATGCCAGTCGAAGACGAAGTGCCATTCGACTCGGTGGAAGTTCCTCGTCAAGAAGCTTCAGTGGGAACATCAAGTGCGAACGCGAAAGTCGACCCAACACCGGCACCAAGTTCCGAAGATCAACACGAAGTGGACGAAAACGCCGAACCTGCATGCTCCAACGCCGAATACTCGAACGATTCGGACATGGAATTCAACAATAACCCAAGTGGCCTCGAAGCAATCTCTGGTGTCACCACCAAGCGACTTCGGTTGATGTGGCGAATGCCACGCCCCATTCGTTCAAGGACATCGAAGAAAGTACCAACAAGACCAAGTGGCTCGAAGCAACTCAAGCCGAGTTCGACTCGCTAGTCAACAATGGGACTTGGACTCTGACCGACATGCCCCCTGGACGAAAGGCTCTCGCATGCAAGTGGTTATGACGAACCAAGTTCGATGCCATGGGGAAGTTCACCAAATACAAGGCTCGCCTGGTCATCAATGGATTCCTACAGCGCGAAGGCCTCGACTACACGGAGATCTTTGCGCCCGTGCACGCTGCGCTTGATCCTGTGCTTGGTTGCAAAGCACAATTGGAACGTGCGTCAAATGGATGTCGTGACTGCGTTTCTCAACGGCGCCATGGATGACGACACCGAAATCTATATGAAGCAGCCACCCACTTCGTCGTGCCTGGCCTCGAGAACAAGGTATGCAAGCTCGTCAAGGCGATCTACGGTCTGAAGCAAGCCCCAAGATGCTGGTACTTGACACTACACAAGTTTCTGGTCGAAGTCAGCTTCGTGCGGTGAGTCAAGGAAGCCTGCCTCTACATCAAAAGAGTGGGAGAATCAGTGGTGCTTTTGACTGTGTACGTCGACGACATCACGGTGACCGGCAACCATGACGCCGATATCGAGATGGCCTGCGACTTGCTCAAGAGCAAGTTCAAGATGACCGACCTTGGTCTACTCAAGTCAATCCTCATCATTCAAGTGGACATCAAGAACAAAGTCGTCACTATGCCCCAGCAAGCTTACGTGGACGCACTTTTGGTCAAGTTCAAGATGGTCGACAGCAACCCCGTGTCGACACCCGAAGTCATCGGCCAAGTGCTCAGTCCAAGCAAACTCAAGGCGGAAGAGATGCACAAGCTCAACCTCCCCTACCGCGAACTCGTTGGCAGTCTGCAGTATCTCGTGACTTGCACAAGACCCGACATCGCGAATGCCGTGCGTAACTTAAGCAAGTACTTGTCATGCTACGACGAGAGCCACTGGAAGCAAGCCAAGCGGGCGGTGCGATACCTCAAGGGCACCAAGGCGGCAAGTCTCAAGATCGACTGCACCGATCAAGTGGGAGCGTTTCAAGTGGAAGCATTCTGCGACGCCGACATTGCCAACGGAGAAGACCGCAAGTCCATCAGCAGTTTGCGGTGATGTTTGCCGGCTGCTGTATCTCGGCAAGATCAAGGAAGCAATCCATCGTGGCGATGTCGACGGCCGAAGCCGAGTACATTGCACTATCCGACGTGATCAAGGAGTTGATTTGGTACTCCGAGCTACTCGAAGAACTGGGATTTCCCCAAGGAAGAATTGTCGTACACTGCGACAACCAAAGCGCAATTGCGATCGCGAAGAACCCAGGCCAACATGAGCGAACGAAGCATATCAGCACCAAGTACCATTTTGTGCGGGACCACGTGCACAATGAACTCGTCCGACTCCAGAACTGTCCAACCAAGATGATGATCGCTGACATCCTCACCAAGGCAATTCCGCGGGAGCAATTCGAGACCCTGCGATCCAAGTTGGGGATTGAAGATGGAACCACGCACAGCGTGAGTGTACGAGAAGTACACGGCAGCTAAGCAGGCAAGCCAAGACAATCCTGCGGTCCGACTGGGCGACTGCAGATGGACCACGAAATGAGTGGGAGTATGAGAAGTACACAGATAAGACTGGTTGGCTAGTGTATTGAATGAATGGATTAGTAGTTAGTTGAGTGGGAACTTGACGAGCGTATTGCAATCGTCAATCCCTATCACCTTAGGCGTTGTACAATCAATGTATATGGAAATATAGCTCAGTGGTAGAGTTCCCGCTTAGCATGCGGTAGGTACAGGGATTGATCCCGGCTAGGTGACATATTCCGGATAATCTTGAGGGTATCGGACAATCATCACCAGGCTGGCGGTTGGGCTCGACGCCTATCCGCGTGCAGTTACAATGCCTACAAAATTAGTAGGTAACCCTTACGAGTAGGCACAGCAATGACCCTTACGAGTAGGCACAACCTTCCGTTTGATTTTTTAACTTACAATTGAATTTACCTTCAACCCATCAAGAGTTTCCTCTCCAACTCTCTAACGACCCACGGCATCGAACTTGTTGCGCCACAGCCACTTGCAAGCCAAAGCCTTGCGACCTCGGGGCAAATCGGTGAGCACCCAAATGCCGTTGTAGACTATCGCATAGTATTCTTCTTGGGTCGCGTCGAGCCACGCTTGCTTGTTGGGACTTGCTTCGATGTCGGCAAAAGACTGCGGCTTGTCGTTGATCAGATCGACCGAAAACACTTGGTGGTGGCCACCCGAGATGGCTTCAAAACCCGTTGGATTGACGAAATCGACCTCAGAGTCGCTTGATTCTTGGTCGCTTGGGGGGATTATTCTGATATATCCGAATAACGAAGTTGATGTTACAATAGGATTGGGACAAAGTGTAATACACTATGGGTAAAGTGTAATACACTTGTCAGTTCCTAAAAAAATAACATCAACACAATATGTAATTATGTATCACATTAATTACACTACTTTGTATTTCTCATACTCCCACTCAATTCGTGGGTCCATCTGCGATTCCCATTTTTGAACGCAGGATCTCGAATTGCTCTCGCGGGATCGCTTTCGTGAGGATATCTGCTACCATGAA